TTATGACTCAAAACCAAACAAAGTCTTCAAAATCGTCATCTGAAATCATTTCTTTTATTAAACTTTTACTCCAATCCTTATGGACGATATTGGGTATTCTATACCACTTTATTACTTGAAAGACGATGTTGGGATAATTATATACTTGCTTTTGGTCTAATCATCACATGTCTGTAGGTGTGTAAAAGCACTGTCATGGCACTAACCATTATTGTATCCTTAGTTAATGACCCTTGTAAATGTATGGAATTGATAGATGAGGTTCAATTAACACATAGGAAGATTCATTTAGGGTTTGTTTGTTTTGATGAAATGTTTTTTTGAAGAATTTGAATTTTGTGGCAGATTTGGAATTAGGAGAATTTAGGGGGTGTTTGGGATTGCTTAGTTAAAACAACTTATGTTTTTTTTTTGTAAAAGTGCTTATTAACTTATGTGGTATTAACTCGAAGTTAAATAAAACAGGGTTAAAATTGTAAACTGGTAATAAACAGTTTTTCATAAGTCAAGAAGAATTAACTTATCAAAAACAACTTATTACCGGTTAGGCACCGATATAAACAATTTTTTTCTTATCCAAAAACCAGAAAACAACTTATCACCGGTGCCAGACTGAAATAAGTTAAAAAACAGTTTTTATAAGCAATCTCAAACACCCCCTTAGAATTGGAAGAATTTAGAATCCTTGATGTGTTATGTTTGTAAGATTTGTAATGAAATTAAATTCAATTCTTTATAAATAATTTGTAAAAATGAATATAAAAATAATTAATTTTTTTTATTAATTGATTATTACAAAACAAGTGCTTTAACATATTTTAAAACATCATCACAAAAATATCCAAAATATCAACTAGCCTCATGCGATTTCAAATGCATACATTCATTCAAATCAAACATAATATCGGAATGAAATTCAATTCCAAATCCCTCAATATCCTATCAAACCCCACAAACTAAACGAAACCGATATTGTTTACCAAATACTTACCGGGTAAGAGTTTATCAAGTCACATTACCATACCAGATGTATATGGTAAAGACCAAGAATCTTACCCGACAAGAGTGAGATAAAGACTAAAAGTCTTACTTGGTAAGTGAAGGCATCGACTCTTACAACGGTAAGCGCTTACCGGATAAATTGTTGTATACAATGATATTTTAATGGACTAAAATCTTACTCAGTAAGTAAATGATAGTGTTAAATTTTACCAATAAGCACTTACTGGGTAAGTGTATGGTAAACAACCTCCAATCTCATCCTATCTCGATTCATGAAACAACCAAGTAATATAGTCGTAATTTTTATCTGCTATGACTGTTATATAAACGAATTAAGATGATCATTAGCCTTCTCTATAAACTTGTGAAATATTTTACAAATCAAATATATAAGAAACATTTTTTTTATTAACTTATTATTTAAGTTATACTAAGGGGACGTGTGATTTGATGAAATGATTTTGAGAGATTTAGATTTTATGGAAAGACTTGAAATTGGAGGGATTTGAAATCTTTGGTGTGTTTGGTTTGTAAGATTTTAAATTTATAAAAACAAATTATAAATATTATTAAATTACCTATTTATTAATTAATTATTATAAAACAAATATGTTAAACATATTTTATAATATTATCATATATAAATTCTACGAAATCCCAACCATCCCATGAGATTTCAAAATCCTATATTTACGAGATTTCATTAATTTCAAATCCATAAAATCTTTCAAAGAAAACATATAATTGGATTAAAATTTAATTCTAAATTCTCCAAACCAAACAATCAATTTTTTTAAAGAGCTGTCATTTTGGGGTGTTTGAGATTGCTTATTTAAAACAATTTATATTTTTCTACAAAAGTCCTTATCAACTTATTATAAGCTAGATAGGTTTAACTTTTTCAAAAACTTCTTATTATGGGTTTGACATCGGTATAAGTTGTTTAGCCAAACACTCAAAAATACTTATTACCAGTGTCATACCAAAATAAGTTATTAAGTTATTCTTATAAGCAATCCCAAACACCTTTTTTGTAACGTATGTAAATATTAAAAATTGAAAATAAGAAATAAAAAAAATAGAAAATGTAGGAAAGCAAGCGTTACGTGAGAAATACAGTTAGTGTTGGTGTGTGTGTGTGTGTATATATATATATATATATATATATATATATAAAATAAATAAACACATGATAATTTTGTCGTTTGTGATAATTGATGTAACCAAAGTTATATAAAGAATGATACATGTTGTTCATAACCCCAACCATTTTGCTTCAATTATCTTTAAAACAATATTATATATACAATTTAATAAGCATTTATTAAATACTAATAAAAGTGTGGTATCCAACTCTCAATCAATGCTGACCAAAAGAGTTAAATGACATTAAAACCTATTTTATTTCATTTCCTTTTCTTTTATTTTACCCAAAACTATGTTGCAATATTGTCATCAGAAATCCTTTTAAAGACAGAAAAAAAACAGGTTTTGCAAGGGTGTTATTGAAAATAGACAATGATCATCATTCGTTAATTTTTTTTTTTGTAATACTAGTTGTGTATTTATGTAATGCGGCGGGAGTTGTAAATTTTAATGATTTTGAAGTTTCAATGGTTTTATTATGGAAGATTTAACGATGATATAAGTTACACTTGATCTTTACGTATTAATACAGTTTGAATAAATAAGAGTTATGGTTCTAATTACAGTCTATTGATGAAAAAAATTATATTACGGTTTAAAATACAATATATTTAAAATCCAACATATTTAAACGACTCTAGAAATGTTTTCGATTTACACCAAGGACAAATAATCAAGAGATGGAGAGGGAGACCGAGAGTTCTAGAGCAATTGAATGGGAGATGAATGCGAGAACTTTTAATAACTCATTTGAATATCAGTTTGAATATCACCTTGGAAGATGGGAGAAGACATAAGAGGTATGAAAGGGTAAAGACATGAGTGAAATATGTCAAAAGTATCTTGGAAACATGAAAAGAAAAATTAATAATATACATTGGTAACTTGTACTATATGTTATTTTAATTGTAGATTAAGAGATTTTAAAACTGAATGCATAAAGTAGTAGTACTTAATGTATTATGAATTGTTTTTTTAAAACTTTGTGCATAAATGTAAAATATTTTGTACATTAAGAACTGTTTTTAGAAGTATTTTGTAATATTAGGTTCTCTGGTCAGCGCCATGAAGGAACGCAGGTGGACCTCATTGATCAAAAAGATTTTATGAGCGTCTGCATTTGAATTTTGAGATAACAAGAACGAGGGTATCGTGTGTGTGTGTGTGTGTGTGTGTAAAATGTTGGCTATTTCATTACATCTTGTATCTTGTTTTGCGTTTTCATTTATAGATAAACAGGTTAGAAAAACATATTACATATACCACTTTCAGGATTTCTTGTTTTGGAAACGTTAAAAGATTCCATATTAGCATTTTAGCCATATCAATTGTCCCATATTGGAAGAGTCATAAAAATCCCCTTTCATTTATAATCTTTGAAGAAACAACTGGAGTTGTTAAGAGATCAAGTGAGCTAAGGAGGACTTGACTACTGTGAATTTTCCACATATACTAAACGTCAAAAGATAACACTAGCGTGCGTGCGATTTCCCAAAAAGTCTGATTTTTAATGCTCAGAGGACCAAATGAGTTTTTCATATCCCCGATCAGTTGCATACACAAACCTATATATGTGTAAATTTTGTTCTATCATTTGATCTCTCTCAATCCTCTTCCTCTCTTCAATGAAATTCTGCAGAAATGTTCATAGGAGATACGTTTAGTTATTGAATATATCTATTTGATCACATAATTCATGGGGTGTATGTATCGGCCTTCAACCCAAACAACCTTGATAGTAGGGGCTAGTAATATCCTAAGGATGGTGATCCTTCACGTTCTAATCATAGATTTGTGGCGCCATTTCTCCTTCTAATACCCTATTTCCTAACAATGTATGTGTTCTTACTTCCGTTCTGCGTTAAGTATTGAAATCGACACAAGCAGGGATACACTTAGAAATGAGAGAAACAACTGGTCTTCGGCCAAACTGTTACCAACCGAGTTTCTTGAACCAGTTCAAGGCTAAATGCGAGTGTAACAACCAGATTCTAGCTTAAGCATAAAGAGACTTAGGGGCCGTTTACCTAATTGCTTACCCGGTAAGCACTTACCAATAGGAGTCCACACTATGATTTAGTTTGATGCGCAAGATTTTAGTACATCAAAACATATCGAATGCAACAATTTACTGGGTAAGCGCTTACATGGGTAAGAGTCGTCATCCTCACTTATCAGGTAAGACTCTCCATCATTCTCATCGCTCTTACCCGGTTAGATTCTTGGCCCTTCTCATGTTCATCCGATAAGAAAATTTATCCGGTAAGCACTTACCAAGTAAGTGTTTAGTAAACGGCCCCTTAGATAACGGGGACAAAGAACATGCTAGCTTAGGAGCAGTGCGCTTGAATAATCTACAATGTTGCACCTTTATGTATACGCATGATACAAACTAAACCACCAAACGAACACAATATATATCATTCAAGGAAGGGTTTAGGGGTAGGATGTCGCATAGAGAAGATGTAATCCTTGATAAGTATGCATGATACATACCAAACGAACCCAATATATATCCCACACAAGGTAGGGTCTGGGAGTAGGGTGTCCGCATAGAGAGGATGTTTCCGTGGTATGTATGCATGATACATACCAAACAAACCCAGTATATATCACACAACAAGGTAGGGTCTGGGGGTAGGATGTCCGCATGGAGAGGATGTTTCCATGATATGTATGCATGATACATACCAAACAAACCCGGTATATATCCCACACAAGGTAGGGTCTGGGGGTAGGATGTCCGCATAGATAGGATGTTTCCATGATATGTATGCATGACACAAACCAGACTAAACCGAACGAACCATACTCACAAGGTAAGGATCTGGGGGTAGGATGTACCTATAGAGAGGCTGTTTCCATGATGTGTATTTATAATACAAAATAGGTAAATAAACAATGCTATTTTAAGTCTTTATTCGAGGGCAAAAGTTGCTTCCAGTTTAGTAACTAACAAACAATTTGAAAACAGGAAGAAAGATTTTGAAAAGATGAATCTGGACCTTCTCAACTCGTGAAACTAACCTGATAACATGTTGCTGATGATGGATGAGAAATTGTACAACTTAATCAGCCCTTGATTGGCCAGCACGGGAAGAGAGAATGATGCCAACAATGAGACCGTATAAAGCAAGTGCTTCAGCAAAGATTAGAATAAGAATCATTCCAACGAAAAGCTTCGGCTGCTGCGCATTTGCCCTGATCACAATATCGCAAGTTTTAGAAGGTAGATTGACCATTAGAAGTATTAGAATTGATGAACAGTTTTTGTTTACAAAATTTAGTTTACTTCCTATTTAGTGTGACGAAGAACTTTTTTTTAAATCGATGTAACAAAGTTCCAAATTTTACTATTTTGTATGCATTTCATCTTTGTAACATTTGATGACATGAATACGCGTTTACAAAAGGTTATGACAAAGTGAATGATAGACTTGACATCCACGGCATCAAATGTTACAAGATCAACAAGTTACTGGTCACAATAGATAAGAAGTAGAAAACTTTGGAACTTTATTACATCGATTGAGAATAAAATTCCTTGTTACACTAAATAAGAACTTTGGGAAACTTTGCATTCTGCCCTTTTGTTTAAAATGAATGCTAGAACAATTATAAAAAGCATTAAGCTAGTCATCCAGGCAAATATGAAGGTTTGCTAAAATGACAAGCTTGAGAATGAGATTCAGATTCTAAAGTAAAGTACTCCTTTTTAAGTTTTTTTAATTCACTTGAGAAAATTGAGTGTTTTTTGACCATTATCACTTCCCTAAGAAACTCGAGCATAAAATATCAGGCATTTTATCTTTTTCCATGTTCAATAAGAAGACCAGCATGGACTAAAGAGCAAACATATAAGATCACACAAGCATGAATCATGATAGCTCTATCCATGTGCAAGAACATGATTATCCCACAAACAAATTGTTGGGCGACCCCAGTCATCCCTTTTCGTTAACACTTTTATATTACAATTAAAGTGCCTTCAAAATGGAGCATATTCAAATAAGGTACTTGTATCATACTTGTTTTGTGAATCAAATTGAAAATTCCTACACCAATTACATCAATCTTGAATTAATTGGATGGCATATTCGCTTAGAATTTTCTTTTAAATAGAGAATATAATATGTACAAGTACAAACACAAAGAGTCGGCATTCTAGCAATGCATAAACCAACATATATTTTATTTTGATCATGAGAACATTGTATAGTCCCATTAGTCATTCAAAATGTCTTCATCAAATAACAAAAGGAACATCTTTCCACTTGCATTTGCTAATAAATTATAGAATTGTATCATGAATCAGATAACATACTGATTTGTTGATGGGAATGCATAGTTTGATTCATGAAAAGAACTGAATGATATAATTGAATAGGAGGCATATGATATTACCACTGGATCCACATCATTTGTTTCATGAATCAAATTCAGTCTTACAAGTTACGTAGCAAATATATGCTTTTGACAAGTATGATGGACCAACATATAAATATGAAAAGGTGCACTACTGCCAAATAGTTAATTGGTCCTAATTCTTTTTCCTTCTCCTAGACCTCTCCCCGTCCTCTGTATGGCAGAAAATTTAATAAATGTCATCAGTTGAGACCACCAACCCATCACTAGCCAAACATTTCTTATTTGTGATATAACAAATAATCATTATGATTAAGATCTTACATGCTTATTTTATAACAAGGACTTGACTAAAATAATGACAGTGTGATGTCAAGGTCTAGCGACTTCCAATATTTTAAACTACCAGACCTCGTTTCTTTTGAGCAGGACGAAGGTGGTTATGATGGATCATCATGCTACCATTTGTGACTAAGATCGCAATTGATAGGATAATGATAGTCAAAGTATCAAGGATGGAGTTACAGTCATCTAAAAAACGGGCTCACAATGACATTAATCATATCGCTTTGGCAGCAAGAACAAGTTAGCTAGAAATAACATAATGTCAATAAATAGATCTATGACCAACTAAAATGCTGATGACATCATCAAATACCGAGGCTCCATTTTGTGAACATTCTATAGAACCAAAGCTACTTTATTTTTACTTCAACTAATTAGGAATTTTAGGGTTGAACAAAAGGTCTTCTTAGGGTACTTATGCACCAAAGTCAAAAGAGTGTGGAAGGAGATGTGCACCTAAAGTCCATCTTTATCTTTGTAATTAAAATCCAAAGGATATGAAGGTGTAATCTGTTGGATTGTTTCTTTTTATGGATTCAGAACAGAATTATGATACTGAAAACATATTTCAGCCAACTGAGTAGGAATATCATTTAAATGGTAGTAACTGCAATTCTGATTGTTTCTTGAACCTATTCCAAAATGGCTGCTGTTTGACACACCAATTATATTTAAAAAAAAAAGCATTTGTGCATTATAATTAGATCATCAATGGCCTTTATTTTTGTCCTAAACATTGAATTGATTGATACTTCATACAATTCAGTAATCTTAGTCATTCCAACAATGCATCATTCAAAACAGAAAGGTACCATCTTTTATCATCTCAAATTATATAACGCAATGCATGCTTACACTCAGCTAAGACAAACACACCCTTCACCAAGAAAAGTCAGTGTATGGCAAGAAGAGAATCAAGCAACCTCATTCATAAAACATTCTCCTGTGGTAATTTGTAGATAAGAATCCCAGCTGGACTCGTCTAAATGGTTGACTGTACATGGTAAACTAGATTCTTCCATTTGAATCATGTTCTTGGTTGGCCTACTAAATTACCTAGGGGTCTGTCAATGGGAGGGGGGTAAAATTTTCACCCCTCAGATATGGTTTCTAGTGTTTCTTAAAAAAGATCCCAGCCTAGTAGAAAATTTCAAAAACATCAAAGAAGGTACAGTATATCAGGGGTGCATGTGACATTGCACATACTAAGTTTCTAAGCAAAACAAAATTTCCTATCATCCTCCATTCCTACTTGAGGCTACTTGAAGGCAAATCCAAATGGCCATGGGTTAACTAACACCATTACAAAATCTCCTGTATAATGAAACATAAGTGCTTTAAATTTATCATATCATCTTAGATAACCCAATTCACTTGCAGCTAATAATTGCTCAAAGCCTCAAAGTACTCTTCCTGACAAGATCTACGCACCAAACATCTATTTAAATATCGCACAATTACGAGTAAGGATATCCGAGGATTGGTTGTCCTCATAATCATTATGCACAAACGTCAAAACTTCAAGCAACACTAAATAACTCTTTAATAGCTTAGCAATCCAATGTCAAACCAAAAACGCACCGAAATAACTATGATTTAAATGTTATGGAATACTTTACCTAACACCAGCATCGCCAACGATTCCAATGGCCATTCCAGCCGAAAGTCCAGCAAGACCACAAGCAAGACCAGATGACAGATGTGCGTAGCCGTCAAACAGGTAATATGATTTCGCCTTGGGATTGATTCCGGTACTAATAATAACAGCAATAATTAATCCATAAATACCTAACACTCCCGCCATAACAACAGGCACAATCGACTTCATTACCAGCTCCGGCCTCATCACTCCCATCGATGCAACACCAACGCCGCTCTTGGCCGTCCCATAGGCCGCACCCATACCTGAAAATTAATCAAAACAAGTTCAAATATTTAAAACGAAGTTGCATCAAAGAGTAAATAAATTCAGCTTTAGGGTTTGAGCTTACAGGAGAAAACAAGGGCTGCTGCGGCTCCGAGGAAGCCGAAAAACGGAGCAGTTTCATCGCCACTGAAAGTAGACGACATCAATTCCAATTGTTGAATTGTAGGGGAGATCTCAACAGATTTGAGGGGCCGGAAAATTGTTCGCCGGAGCAGGAATATTGAACGTATAAATTACGAACGTGCAGTGGCTCGTGGCCTCACGTTTTATGCCGATGGGTTGTTTTTATAGTTCCTTCCGGCTTACAAATGGGCTGGAATTTTAAATATCTTTGCTGGGCTTGGTATCTTTGCTGCTATTATCCATATTTATAGTTATACTATCTATATCTATAATATGTATATCTATACTATATTTTAAATATTTATTAAAAACTCTTAACAATTATTTTAACTTCATGGTTAAATCTGAATTTAATTATAAATAAAATATTAAATTAAAGAAATTACATAAAAAAATAGAACTTTAAATAGTAAACTTGGAAATTTGATACTAATATCGATGTATATTTTTTTAAAAATTTTATGATACTTCAAAATTTATATTTTATTCAAAAATTAAAAAATCTTCGCTTCTCAAAACCACTAAAAACCGTATTGTATCGACAGAGATAAATAATAAAACGAAACATTAAACTTGAGATATATCTTGTTATATTATGCAATCACCCTTCTAGTATATACTATAAGGGTATTCACGCAATGCAACAAGATAAATTCTTGATTTTAATGTTCTATTTTATTCTTTGTCTCTGTCGATATTATAATACAATTTTATTTGTTTTTAAGAAAGCAATAGTGATTTTATTTTTAAATAAAATATAATTTTGAATATATCATAAAATTTTGAAAAAAAATATATCAATGTCAATATCAAATCAACTATTTAAAAGTTCTATTTTTTTATTATGATTTAATTTATTTTTTATTATGATTTAATTTANNNNATTACATTTTATAAAGATAATAATTAAGTATTATGTTAAAACTCAATGATTATCTTAATTATATTTTAGATTTTTTATATTTAAAATGAGATGTTTATCTTGTATTTGATTATGTTTCAAATTCAGATATGGAGTTTTAATAAGTTGTACTTACGCATAATCTATTTGTAATAGTAAGTTTTAAGTAACATGTATTAATAAACAATATTTTATGTATAAAAACTGGCTTTTAAGAGCTTTTTTCAAATGCTATATAATATAGTATAGATATAAACATGCTAAACGGCTTTGTGTTAAAGGTACTACCCTGTATACTTAAAGTATTACTTTTGAAGCTATACAACCTCCCATGATCCCCATTGTTATAAAAATCAAATTTTTTTTTTTATGTTACACTTTACATCCTTATTGTTAGTTATTTAATTTACTTTATATTCATTTCTTTTTCATTTTTCGTTATTACCATATTATCATACATAATCATATATTAAATATATATATATATTTCACTTTTTACAAATTATATCATTATAATTGTCTCATCAATGCCTTAGCCTAATACTAAATATTTTTCGCTTTAATCTCATATTATTAAATAATATAAATACGTAGTGAATTATTTTTAAAACTTTCATTTTATACCTTATAGTTATCGTATTTAATTTGTTTTATATTTCTTATGTTTTTTTTCATTTCTATTTTATACCCTTAATTTACAAATTTAAAGTTGTAGAACCCATAACTTTATATCTCCACGTCCCAAGATAATATTAAATATCAAATATTTTTTTATTTTTAAATTACAATTTATACTTTTATAATTAGTTATATAATTTGTTTCATGCCACTTACTTTTTCATTTTTTGTTTTACATTTTTATCATATTAAAATAAATAATCGTACATAAACTAAAATTATTATAAAATACATTTTTTAATAAATTATATAATTATAATCGTCTCATCACCACCTTTGAAATGAACCAATATTGAATATTTTAAATTTTATCATATTATTAAATATCATAAATATGTAGTGAGTTATTTTTAAAACTTATATTTAATTTACACTCTTATCTATCTATATTATCTCTATATTATATTATAAAACATGTTAAACGGTTATTATTGAATTTTTAAGAGGTATAAATTTTGATTCATTATGTACAATTTTTGAATCTTTACAACCTTCGTGTTCAACATGATAATTAAAAATAAAATTATTTTTTATTATTAATTACAGTTTATACCTTTATAATTAGTTATTTAATTTATTTTATATCTCTTCTTTTGCTATTTTTTATTTTACACGTTCTCATATTAACATTAACTATTATGATCATCTCTTCAATACCTTATAAATGAACCCAATATCGAATTTAATAATATTATTAAATATGATAAATACGTACTCATGTTTTTTAGTATCTTAATTTTTTATTTTTCATTTTACACCCTTATCTATCTATACTATATTACTAGTATGGGAACCGTGCGTTGTACGGTAGCATGAGTAATTTGATTAATAATCTGAAGATTGTCTATATAAATATGTATTAGTTGTTAATAGAATTATCAACAAATAGTATTTAAATAATTCTAAAAAGTTAAATAAAATATAATTAGTGAA